AGGGCACGAACCTGGGTTGAAGGCTCGATCCCTGGTCCTGGTTGGAGTGTGAGCAGGGAGCACCAATCAATGTTGTCTCTCTCACATTGATGTTTCTCTCTCTGTGTCTCTCCCACTCCCTTCCACTCTCTCTATAAAAATCAATGGAAAAATATCTCCAGGTGAGGCTTAACAACAACAACAAAAAAGGAATTGTATTTCTTTTTCCTAAAACATGTCTCCTTTGAAGATCTCCTTCTACCTGTTAAAAGTCAACCAATTTTCTGCTGGACCCATGTGGCTCAGTGGTTGATCGTTGACCCATGAACCAAGAGCCACTGGTTGGATTCCCAATTCCTGGTCAGGGGATGTGCCAGGTTTCTGGCTAGATCCCCAGTAGGGAGCGTGCAGGAGGCAGCCGATCATGTTTCTATCTCTAGCCTTCTCCTTTCTTCTCTCTCCAAAATCAATAAAAACACATTTAAAAAAAAAGTCAACCAGTTTTCATTAGGGAAATGCAACTCTACACCACAATGATTTTCTACTTTATACACACTAGGATGTCTACAATAAAAAAGACAGGTAATAACAAATGTTGATGAGGATGTGAATAAATTGCAACCCCCATTCATTGCTGGTGGAACTATACAAATGGCACATCTACTTTGGGAAACAATTCACTTTGTTTTACCCAAGAGTATACCCAAGAGAACTGAAAACATTATATTCAAATGAAAACTTGCACATGAATGTAAAATAAATTGCTGATACACACTGACATGGATGCTAAGTGAAACAAGTCAGCCACAAAAGATCACATATGTATGATTCCATTTATATAAAATGTCCAGAATAGGCATATCTATAAAGAAAGAAGGTAGATTAGTGTTTGCATAAGACTAGTGTGGTAGATGGAGGTGGGATTGTGAGCTGCTAACAATCACATGGGTTCCTTTTGGGGATGATGAAAACCTAAACTTATTGTGATGACAGTTGTACAACTGTGAATATACTAAAAGGTCACTGAATTGTATCCTTTAAATGCCCAATTTTGTGGTATTTTAATTACATCTCAATAAAAATGTTTAAAAGTCAACCAATTTAATGACCACCGTGATAATAAAAGGTAAAACTTTTTTGTGACCATTTTCTCTAATGTTCAGTATTCTTATATTTTCTGTAATATATATGGGCCTGGATTGATTTTAGAGAGAGGAAGGGAGAGAAACCATTTTCTCTAATGTAAACCATTTTCTCTAATGTTCAGTATTCTTATATTTTCTGTAATATATATGGGCCTGGATTTAAAAAATTATTCCAACTTTTTCTTGTAAAACCAAAAGAAAAGGCAGAATTTGTGTACACAGGTAATATGTTGGTAAGAAGGTAAATTTGCAAAAGCTTTGTGGAAAGCA